AGTGGTGGCAGCTCCAAGCATAGACAGCTTTAAGAGGGGATTGGGGAAACATCTAGAGCAGAGGTCCATCAGTGGCTCTTAGCCACAAGCTATGGATGAAACACTCTGTCTGGGACAAGTGATACTCTGTTGTCTTAGTGCTTGGGGGGCCATTCGCCTGATCCAACATGGCTTCTCTTATGTTCTTATGTTCTCTGTAATCTTGGTGCCATTTGTTATAAACAGGATACACGTGTACACTCACACACGCACAAACACACACAGACATACCAAAAAAAGTGGAACTCAGGACGATCATGGGTGAAAGGAATTTGCTTCCCACCCTCTGAATTTCCTGAATTGTTCTTCCCTTCTGGCTCTTATACCCCCATCTTTGCTCCCCCACTTTGATCTTTGTCCCTCGTCATCCCTTCTCTCCCTCCACTCACCATCTTTCAGTTTCATATGTGGAGTAAATAGTTTCATAGTGGAGTAAATAGTGGAACAGAGGTCCATCAGTGGCTATCAGACACAAGGAATAGACAGGAACTCTTGGTCTGGGGCAAGTGATGCTCTGGATTCTTGGTGCTTAGGGGGGGTAACAGTGGGAGGGCTTCTAGTGTCCTGGCCCCACGGGTGGGCCTCCTGATGGCACCTGGTGTTTTTGGCCACTGTGTGACACAGAGTGTTGGACTGGATGGGCCACTGGCCTGATCCAACATTGGCTTCTCTTGGGTTCTCTTATGTGGGTTACTCAGCGATACCTCTCTGATACTGAACATCCTCAAATAATTAAAACGGAGCGCCCCCAAATATTGCTCTCTGGCCCGTCATCTGGTTTTCAGCATCCTTCCATACGTGGCAGCTGTAACGTCAAATTTCCTTAAAAACCACGAGGTCTGGAAACAACTGTTCCCGTCTTAAATTAAAAATGAGATTATTTGGGTAACTTGAAAGAAAACAGAATCCCTTATTATTGAGTCTACAGACAGATCCTGTGACCAGGCCTGAAAAAGACCCAAACAGTGGTGGTTAAGTGCACAGATTCTAATCTGGGAGAACTGGGTTTGATTTCCCACTCCTCCACTTGCACCTGCTGGATGACCTTGGGCAAGGCATAGTTCTGTCAGAGCTGTTCTCTCATGAGCAGTCCTCGAAAGAGCTCTCTCAGCCCCACCTACATCACAGGGTGTCTGTTGTGGGGAGGGGAAAGGAGTTTGTAAGCCGCTCTGAGACACCTTTGGGTAGTGAAGGGCGGGGTATAAATCCAATCTCTTCTTCTTCTTCTTCTTCTTCTTTATTCAGGAATCCCCAAAGTAGCCCAGCCGCCACTCAGTCAATGTTGCTCTCATCTGGCATGGTCCAAAGGTCACCCTAAGTCTGCCGTCTCGAGAACCGGGGACTTTGCCACACTGCTGGCTGTTGCTTAGCAACAGCCAATCGAATGTAAGCTGTGGCCACCTTGACATGGATAATGTCTGTTGCTAGGGCAACAGGTCTGCGGCCGAAGAGAGCTCTCGGAGATGTCCCTTTCCTTTCGTGAGAGGAAATTTCACACCACAGTAGCTTGGGAAACTGCAACATGGACCGATACCAGAATGATTAAAAATCATAATTTGCGTCAATTAAAATCAACCCTCATCAATATAAAATGGGTGTGAAATACATTTGGGTTAAAATAGATTAACATTATTTTTTTTATTTATAGCCGCCATTCTCGTTGACAGTTGTGCACATTTTTAGTAGCTAGAGAGACACCCATGTTCAAGGATCCTGTCGTGTCACTTATTGTCGATGCATCCTGTAGATGTATACTGAAGCGTGTGTGGTAAGCCAGGCGACGGAGGACTGAGTCACATGATGCAAAGTCCATGTGTCCTCCTGTCAGCGCTTGTACAGATGTGTTTTGGGGATTCTCCACAGTGGACTTAATTCCCAGATGTGTTTAGGCCAGATTTGGGTCACGGCAAGTGTGAAAGGGGCCGTAGAGATCATCCAGTCCAACCCCCTGCTCGATGCAGGACCAGCCTAAGAAGTGTTTGTCCAGCCTCTGCTTAAAGACTGACAATGAGAGGGAGCTCACCACCTCCCCAGGCAGCTGATTCCACCGTTGCACAACTCTGACTGTCAAAAAGTTTTCCATAAGATACAACCGGTACCTTTCCGCCTTGAATTTAAACCCATTCTTGCGAGTCCTCTCCTCTGCTGCCAACAGGAACACCTCCCTGCCCTCCTCCTCTAAGGGACAGCCCTTCAAAGACTTCAAGAGAGCCATCCTGTCCCCTCTCAGCCTCCTCTTCTCCAGACTTGACCGTTCCCAAGTCCCTCGGCCTTTCCTCCTAGGGCTTCTCCAGGCCCCCGATCATCCTCGTCGCACCCGCTCCATTCTGTCCACATCCTTTCTGAAGTGAGGCCCTCAGAACTGCACAAAGTACTGCAGGCACGGCCTGACCAATGCACCATGTAGTTTTTGTTTTTGTTAAGTCGCTTGCTTAACAAAGAAGTCGGAGAGTGATTCAGTAAGAACACAACTTTATTCTTCCACTCGAACACAACTCCAACACGGATCAACATCTGATAGCCAGAACAGCCTTTACATTGCAGCTGTCCTGCTTTTAAACGTTCCCGGCTAATGTAGCCACACCCACTGTACAAATACCAACCAATAAGGTTGTTCACATAAGGACTAATCACGGATGTTCCCGCTCAGGGAGCTTGCTTGAAAGTGATTGGTTAGGTGCTTCCTGGGCTAGTAACACGATTGGATGGATTTGGATCCTAGCCCAGGACGAAGCTTTACATTACACTTCAATGAGATGTTTCACAACATATCATGCATTCAGGGCAGCTTTGAATACACTATATTTGAGAAACTTTCAGGCTAGTGATCCTGGTTCCGTGGTTTTCGCATTCCAGTTCAGCATTACCCTGTTTCCCCGAAAATAAGACCTACCCCAAAAATAAGCCCTAGCAGGATTTCTATGCATTTGTGGTATAAGCCCTAGTGTGTCTTCTTGAGAAAAAATAAATATAAGACAGTGTCTTATTTTCGGGAAAACACGGTATTAACAAAAGATAGCAGTGACAACTTCCACAGGCATAATAGGTGCCTAAAATATCGCATGGTTCAGGTTCTGTGGTATCCCTTGGAGGTCTCCCATCCAAATACTAGCCAGGGGAAATGTTGGTACGAAACCAAGGACTCAAAAGCTGAAGACATTCTCCCCTTTGAAATGTGAACACAAAAGTGGGGTTTGGTTTTGAATAGCAGAACTGAGTGGCGGCTGAAGAGTTAAACCTCCCGTCCCTGCATGGCCCTGAGGCCATTTGAGGCCCTGCCATTTGCCTCTATGATCTTTGCTCCTTTGAGCTCTATGTTCTTCTAGGTTCCTGAGGGAAATTCCCAGATATGGGGGACTGTCCCTGTCCAGAGAAGAACCTCTTAATTGTGGTACCCAGGGCTCTTTTTGGGCAGAAACGCACAGGAACGGCGTTCCAGCTGGCTCCTCAGTTGGCCACGCCCAGCAGGAACTCATTAGCATAACAGGCCACACCCAACAGCAGGCACTCATTAGGATTGGCTACATTAGGGGTGTGTGGCCTAACATGCAAAGGATTTCCTGCTACAAAAAAAGGCCCTGGGTTTTGACAACAAACAAGGTAAACGGAATAAGAAGCAAAAGGTGGATGTGGCTGGATGAGCACACTTCTGGTAACACGGGGGTGTGGCCTAATAGGCTAATGAGCTGTGTTGTCGGGGGGGTGGCCTAATAGGCTAATGAGTTTCTGCTGTTGGGTGTGGCCTATTATGCTAATGAGTTCCTGCTAGGCTTTTTCTACAAAAAAAAGCCCTGGTGGTACCCCTGTGGTAGTGTGAACAGGGTTATGGTACCATGCAGGATTCTTGATGTGTCATGTGTGAACCTGCCCTGATGAGTGAGGTTTCTCTAGAAGTTTGTGGGGGTCTTGGAAAAGGACGTTGTATACATAATTGCATCCCATTAGAAGAGAAGAAGAGATTGGATTTGTACCCCGCCCTTCACTCGGAGTCTCAGAGCAGTTTACAATCTCCTCCCCTTCCCCTCCCCCTCCCCTAAACAGACGCCCTGGGAGGTAAAAGAAGAAGAAGAAGAGACTGGATTTATACCCCGCCCTTCACTCGGAGTCTCAGAGCAGTTTACAATCTCCTCCCCTTCCCCTCCCCCTCCCCTAAACAGACGCCCTGGGAGGTAAAAGAAGAAGAAGAAGAGACTGGATTTATACCCCGCCCTTCACTCGGAGTCTCAGAGCAGTTTACAATCTCCTCCCCTTCCCCTCCCCCTCCCCTAAACAGACGCCCTGGGAGGTAAAAGAAGAAGAAGAAGAGACTGGATTTATACCCCGCCCGTCACTACCCAAAGGAGTCTCAGAGCGGCTTACAATCTCCTTTTGATTTGTTTTGATTTATTAAACCTCTACCCTGCCCTCCCTCTACCCCACAACAGACCCTCTGTGAGGTAGGTGGGGCTGAGAGAGCTCCTTCGAGGACTGCCCTTGAGAGAACAGCTCTGAGAGAACTTGTGACTGAACCAAGGTCACCCTGCTGGCTGCATGTGGAGGAAGAAGAAGAAGTGGAAGAGATTGGATTTATACCCTGCCCTTCACTCGGAGTCTCAGAGCAGTTTACAATCTCCTCCCCTTCCCCTCCCCTCAACAGACGCTCTGTGAGGTAGGTGGGGCTGCGAGAGCTCTTTCGAGGACTGCCCTTGAGAGAACAGCTCTGAGAGAACTTGTGGCTGACCCAAGGTCACACCAGCAACTTCACGTGGAGGAGTGGGGAATCAAACCCGGTCCTCCCAGATTAGAGTCCGCATTCTTAACTACCACACCAAACTGGCTGTCATTACTCTAACAAAGTAAAGCACTTTGCATTTATAAACGAATGTATTTTCTTTTCTTTGCTCTCTGTGTGTGGCGAGGGACAGTGTTGATTTTGAAACCGCATCTTTGGAGGGCTCACTACAGATTTTTCTTCCTCCCAGACAGGGGCAGAGTTCATTCGTCTCAACCTTTTCGCTACAGCAGACTCCGGGGCAGCTTTCCTTGCTGCTCGTCGGCCTTCATCTCCTCCATAAAACCGGTGCCAAGTGAATAAAATGGTTGGATTCAAGCCCACGGATGTCCCTCCAACAGCCATGGTGAAGTTCCTTGGGGCCGGGACAGCGGCTTGCATTGCGGACCTGGTCACCTTCCCGCTGGACACGGCTAAAGTCCGGCTGCAGGTGAGCGCCTGTGGAAAAGAGCCCGAAGGTGGTTTTACACATAAGGTTGGCCCTTTCCGATCCTGGCACGCTTTCCAAAATGGGCCCTTAAGTGGCTTTTGTCTGTCATAGACCTTTTTGAGTCTCTGGGCACCTTTGTGGCTTTGACGCAGGTTGTAGGTGGGATCATAAAATGGCTGTCAAAGGAGGTAGAGTCATACACACGGAGGAAGCCAAAGTGTGAGGGAGAAGGGTAATTTTTAAGAATACACCGGGGGGAGGAGAAGAAGAGATTGGATTTATACCCTGCCCTTCACTACCCAAAGGAGTCTCAGAGCGCCTTACAATCCCCTTTTCCTTCCCCTCCCCACAATCTCCTTTTCCTTTCCCTCCCCACAATAGACACCCTGTGAGGTAGGTGGGGCTGAGAGAGCTCTAACAGAAACTACTCTTTTTTTCAAGAACCGCTGTGCCAGAGTTATGGCTTGCCCAAGGTCATCTAGCCAGGTGCAAGTGGAGGAGTGGGGAATCAAACCCGGTTCTCCCAGATTAGAGTCCGCGCACTTAACCACTACGCCAAACTGGCTCTAGGCTGCGTTAGTGTGAGCGGGCTCCCAGTTTTTTAGCCTCCGGCCCACACATTTTTGTCTCAGCTCAGGAAGGACGGCTCCAGAGCAAACTAATTTATGCAGCGGCCCAATCGCTCGCTCACAACTTTAATGCTGGTCTCTCACAAAACAGTATTTTTGCTCGCAAGACTCCACAGCTTAGAGGGAGCATTGCTTCCAACCAGTGTTCCCTCTAAGCTGGGTTAGTGTGAGCTGGCTCCCAGTTTTTTAGCCTCCGGCCCACACATTTTTGTCTCAGCTCAGGAAGGACGGCTCCAGAGCAAACTAATTTATGCAGCGGCCCAATCGCTCGCTCACAACTTTAATGCTGGTCTCTCACAAAACAGTATTTTTGCTCGCAAGACCCCACAGCTTAGAGGGCGCATTGATTGTGTGCCTCTTTTCAGCTGGTTTAGCGAACCGGGCACGGCAGGCCCTGATCTGCTCTGCAGCCTCTTCTTCCTTCCCCGCTTCTTTCCTGTGCAGATCCAAGGAGAGAGCAAGCTGGCCGTCGCGTCCATGTCGGCCCAGTACAAGGGCGTCTTTGGCACCATCGCCACCATGGTGAGGATGGAGGGTCCCACGAGCCTCTACAACGGGCTGGTGGCCGGGCTCCAGCGCCAGATGAGCTTCGCCTCCGTCCGCATCGGCCTCTACGACTCGGTGAAGCAGTTCTACACCAAGGGCTCAGAGCGTAAGTTGGTGTATGGCTTGCTGCATCCAACCCCTTACGGTGGCGCTCTTCCTCCAATGGGGGGAGGAGGAGGAGGAGATTGGATTCATACCCTGCCCTTCACTCGGAGTCTCAGAGTGGCTTACAGACTCCTTTCCCTTCCCCTCCCCACAACAAACACCCTGTGGGGCTGAGAGAGCTCTTTCAAGGACTGCTGTGGAGAGAACAGCTCTTAGGTAAGAAGAGGAGGAGATTGGATTTCTACCCCGCCCTTCACTACCCAAAGGGGACTCAGAGCGGCTTACAAATTCCTTTCCCTTCCCCTCCCCACAACAGACACCCTGGGAGGTTGGTGGGGCTGAGAGCGCTCTGACAGAAACTGCCCTTGAGAGAACAGCTCTGACAGAACTGTGACAGACCCAAAGTCTTCCAGGCAGGTGCAAGTAGAGGAGCGGGGAATCGAACCCACTTCTCCCAGATTAGAGTCCGCGCACTTAACTGCGACACCAAACTGGCTGACAGAAGAGTGGGAGGTATTAGCAAGAAGTTCTCTGCACTCCCAAGGCCGCTGCTACTGTTAGGGGATGGGATCTGGGGGATTGAAACCCATAATTGGAAAGGCTGTTGAAGTTGCACAGACGACCGGAGCACCTTCCAGACGAGGAAAGGCTGAAGAGTCTCAGGCTTCTCCGTTTGGAAAAGAGCCGACCAAGAAGGGACATAATAAAAGGCTTATGAAATCATGCATGGGGTGGTGGGGAGAGAGCTGACACAGTGAATTTTCACCCCTCTCCCCAGGTAATAGAATGATGAAGCTGATGGGCGACAGATTTAGGACAGACAGAAGGAAATAACTTCCTTACACGAGTGATTAAAGTGTGGGATTCTCTGCCTGAGGATGTAGTGATGGCCATAGGCATAGACGGATTTAAAAGATTAGACAGTTTCATGGAGGTGTATCAGTGGCCACTAGCCATGGTGACTAAAGGGAACCTCCATGTTCAGAAGCAGTCAACCTCTGAATCCCAGAGCCAGGAGGCAACATCTGGGGAAGGCCTCGGCCTCTCTGCCCTGTTGCTGGACCTCCAGAGGAAATGGTTGGCCCCTGTGTGAGGCAGGAGGCTGGACGAGATGGACCCTCACTGGTCTGACCCAGCAGGGCTCTTCTGAGGTTCTTATCAGGGGAAGGCCTCGACCTCTCTGCCCTGTTGTTGGCCCTCCAGAGGAACTGGCTGGCCCCTGTGTGAGACAGGATGCTGGACTAGGTGGACCCTCACTGGTCTGATCCAGCAGGGCTCTCCTGAGGTTCTTATCAGGGGAAGGCCTCGGCCTCTGTGCCCTGTTGTTGGCCCTCCAGAGGAACTGGCTGGCCCCTGTGTAAGACAGGATGCTGGACTAGATGGACCCTCCCTGGTCTGACCCAGCAGGGCTCTTTTTTGAGGTACATATCAGGGGAATGCCTTGGTCTCTCTGCCCTGTTGTTGGCCTTCCAGAGGAACTGGATGGCCACTGTGTGAGACCGGATGCTGGAGTATATGGACCACTGGACTGATCCAGCAGGGCTCTTTTTTGAGGTTCTCATCAGGGGAAGGCCTCGGTCTCTCTGCCCTGTTGTTTTGTCCCTCCAGAGGAACTGGTTGGCCACTGTGTGAGATGGGATGCTGGGCTAGATGGACCCTCACTGGTCTGATCCAGCAGGGCTCTTCTGATGAAGGCCTTGGCCTCTATGACTTGTTGTTGGCCCTCCATAAGAACATAAGAGAATCCAGCAGTGGGGCCAGGACACTAGAAGCCCTCCCACTGTTGCCCCTGCCAAGCACCAAGAATACAGTGCATCCCTTGCCCCAGACCAAGAGTTCCTATCTATACCTTGTGGCTAATAGCCACTGATGGACCTCTGCTCCATATGCTTATCTAATTCCCTCTTGAAGCCATCCATGCTTGTAGCCGCCACCACCTTCAGAGGAACTGGTTGGCCACTGTGTGAGTGCGACAGGATGCCGGACTAGATGGACCCCCGGTCTGATCCTGCAGGGCTTTTCTGACATCCTTATGTCTCGTGTATGGACCAGTTTGTAAGATGAGGGGCTGTTGAAAGTTGTAAGATGAGGAGCTGAGGTCATTAGCCCTGTATTGCTATGAAGGAACTGCTGAACTTAGGGGGCTTACTTCTGCAGGAAGCTTGAGGGTGTCTTGGTGTTTTCTCTGAGTGCGCCTCTGTTCCTCTCCCCGGTTTTCGCAGATGCCGGCATCGGCAGCCGTCTCCTGGCGGGCTGCACCACCGGGGCGATGGCGGTCGCCGTGGCCCAGCCCACCGATGTGGTGAAAGTGCGGTTCCAGGCGCAAGCCCGGACGGAAGGCGGCAAGCGGTACCAGGGGACGTTGGATGCCTACAAGACCATTGCGAAGGAGGAGGGTGTCCGGGGCCTCTGGAAAGGTTGGTGACAGGGGGAGCCAGGGATTGTGGGGTTTCAAGCAAAGGTTTAGACTGCGGCAACAGATTGCACGGTAGCGGCCTGTGGAGGCCGCCGGTTCCTTTTGTTGCTTGGGCTACTTGGTTCTCCATTCCTTGAGGACTAGGAACTTGGTTTTTAAGTTGAACACACGAAACTGCATTGCGCTGAATCAGACCCTCGGTCCATCAAAGTCAGCATTGTCTACTCAGTCTGGCAGCGGCTCTCAAAGGTCTCAGGCTGAGGTCTTTCCCATCACTTATCCTTTTCATTGGACATGTCGGGGATTGAACCCGGGACCTTCTGCATGCCAAGCAGAGGCTCTACCACTGAGCCACAGCCCCTCTTTACAGCTCTCCAGGGTCTCAGGCAGAGGTCTTTCCCATCATCTCCTGCCCAGTCCTTTTGACTGGACATGTCCGGGATTGAACCTGGGACCTTCTGCCAGGGGTTGAACCCGGGACCTTCTGCAGGCCAAGCAGATGCTCTACCACTGAGCCACAGCCCCTCTTTACAGCTCTCCAGGGTCTCAAGCGGAGGTCTTTCACATCACCTCCTGCCCAGTCCTTTTGACTGGACATGTCAGGGATTGAACCCGGGACCTTCTGCATGCCAAGCAGAGGCTCTACCTCTGAGCCACGGCACCTCTTTACGGCTCTCCAGGGTCTCAAGCGGAGGTCTTTCCCATCACCTCCTGCCTGGTCCTTTTAACAGGAGTTGCTGGGAATCAAACCTAGGACCTTCTGCGTGCCAAGCGGTGCCTCTACCACTGAGCCACAGTGTATTACGCTTAGCCTGAAGCGGCTGTGAGTTGATTTGTCAAAACGTTTCAGAACGAGCCACAGTCTAAACTGGGAGCAGGATTTCTTCTGATCAGCTTCCAGTACCGTTTCTACAACCTATGTAGCAGTGTCACCTCTGTTTCTAAGCCACCGCTGCTAGTTCCACACTCACAAAATTCTGGGTTTTGTTCCCCCTTTAGGAACGTCCCCTAATATCACTCGCAACGCCCTTGTGAACTGTGCCGAGTTGGTGACCTACGATCTGATCAAAGATGCTCTTCTGAAATACAACCTTATGACAGGTACGGATGATTGGGGGATCTCTGTGGGTCTACGGAGCTTGTTGAGGGAGAAAGGTGTAATGTATTCAGTAAGCTGCCATTGAATGCATAATGTGTGATGAAAACATCTAATTGAAATCAGAGTTCCCTCTAAGCTGTGGAGTCTTGTGAGCAAGAATCCTATTTTGTGAGCTACTGCCATTTAAAGTTGTGAGCAAGCAATCTGACTCCTGCATCAATTAGTTTGCTCTGGAGCCCTCCTTCCTGAGCTAAGACAAAAATGTCTGAGCTGAAGGCCAAAAAACTGTGAGCTAGCTCACACTAACTCAGCTTAGAGGGAACACTGATTGAAATGCTATGTTAAGCTTCGTCCTGGGCTAGGATCCAAATACATCCAATCGTATTGGTAGCCCAGGAAGAACCAACCAATCAGGTACCAGCAAGCTCCCTGGGTGGGAACGTCTATGATTGGTCGTTATGTAAACAATCTTATTGGTTGGTATTGTACACTAAGGCGTGGCTACATTAGCCGGGAGAGTTTAAAAAAGGGAACCGCTTTAATGCAAAAGCTGTTCTGGCTATTCATGTTGATCTGTTTGGAGTTGAGTCACGAGTTGCTGAATAAAGCTGATCTTTTGCTGGAATCACTCTCTGACTCTTTGTTAAGTAACCGAATTAACAAAAGGGGTCCCCCGTATGGACAGCAGATGGCTTGCGGCAGGGGACGTGGGAGTTCCGCCCGATCCCTGGGGCTGAAGGCACATACTGTTGCTTCGGTCTGTAAAATCACCGTTCAGACATATCCTCTAAAAGGGTGCCTTCCACGCAGATACCAGTTCTTGACTCTTGGAAAGCTTATTCCCTTGCTGGCCTTGATTTCAATAGAGAGAAGTGCAAAGTCCTACACTTAGGTACCAAAAAAATCAAAGGCACAGGTATAGATTGGGAGGGACTTGGCTGGACAGCAGCACCTGTGAAAGGGACCTGGGTGTTCTGGTTGATCACAAGCGAAACATGAGCCTGCAGTGCGATACAGCTGCAAATACAGCTAATGCAATCTTAGGATGCATTAACAGAAGCATCATGTCCAGATCACGGGAGGTGGTCATTCCGCTCTATTCTGCTATGGTCAGGCCCCACCTGGAGTCCCGTGTCCAGTTTTGGGCACCACGTTTTAGGAAGGATGTTGACAAGCTCGAGCGTGTCCAGAAGAGGGCAACCGGGATTGGGAGAGGGTTGGAGTCCAAGTCTTAGGAGGAAAGGCTGAAAGAGTTGGGTCTGTTTAGCCTGGGAAAGAGAAGGCTCAGAGGGGACATGATTGCAGTCTTCAAGTAATTGAAGAGCTGTCATGTGGAAGATGGAGCGGATCTGTTCTCTCTTGCTCCGGACTGCAAGACTAGGTCTAATGGGTGGAAATTACGAGGGAGTCTATATATTCTGCTATGGTCAGGCCTCACCTGGAGTCCTGTGTCCAGTTTTGGGCACCACATTTTAGGAAGGATGTTGACCAGCTCGAGCGTGTCCAGAAGAGGGCAACCGGGATGGTGAGAGGGTTGGAATCCAAGTCTTAGGAGGAAAGGCTGAAAGAGTTGGGTCTGTTTAGCCTGGGAAAGAGAAGGCTCAGAGGGGACATCATTGCAGTCTTCAAATATCTGAAGGGCTGTCATGTAGAAGATGGAGCGGATCTCTTCTCCCTTGCTCCGGATTGCAAGACTAGATCTCATGGGTGGAAATGACAAGGGAGTCATTAACAGTTAAATAGCAGGAGAAACTTCCTAACTGTAAGAGTGGCTGAGCAGTGGAACAGTCTGCCTCTGGAGGTGGTGGATGCTCCTTCGCTGTATGTTTTCAAGTGGAAGCTGGACGGCCATCTTTCGGGTCTGTTGTAGGGCTCTCTTTCGGCTCTGCTCTTGCAGAGTGCAGGGGGTTGGACTAGATGACCTGCAAGGTCCCTTCCAACTCGAACGTTCTATGATTCCGTGAAGGTGCTCCTCGATTCAAACCTCGCTCTCCTGCTGCAGGCCATCGTGGCTACCCGGCTGAGAGTCAGCGCTCCCTTCAACAGAGACCAGGCTCTGACCAGTGTTCCCTCTAAGCTGAGTTAGTGTGAGTTAGCTCACAGGTTTTTTAGCCTCCGGCTCACACGTTTTTTGCCTTCGCTCAGGAAGGAGGGCTCCAGAGCAAACTGATTTTATGCAGCAGCCAAATCGTTCGCTCACAGCTTTCATGCCGGGAGCTCACAAGGTCGGATTTTTGCTCACAAGGCTCCACAGCTTAGAGGGAACATTGGCTCTGACTCTCAAAAAGCTTATCCTCCGTGAATCTTGTTGGTGCTGCCAGACTTGAATTTAGCTCTCCTCGTGCTGCAGACCAACCCATCTACCCCCTGAAACTATCCTCATATCAGCCAGGATGGTGGAGTGGTGAAGAGTGTCGGACTCGGACCTGGGAGGCCCGGGTTCGAATCCCCCACTCTGCCATGGGAGCTGGCTGGGTGACCTTGGGCCAGTCACTCTCTCTCAGCCTGACCTACCTCACAGGGTTGTTGTGAGGATAAAATGGAAGAGTGGAGACCTGTGTCAGTTCTTTAATTCCTCATTGGGGGAGGAAGGTGGGGTATAATAGAAGTAGAATATAAAATAAAATTCATGGAGGGCATCGTTTTTATGGTGTGTTTGGGCAACAGTGGACTAGTGAAGATGAGGAGATTGGATTTATACCCCGCTCTTCACTACCCAAAAGAGTCTCAGAGCGGCTTACAAACTCCTTTCCCTTCCCCTCCCCACCACAGACACCCTGTGAGGTAAAAGAAGAAGAAGAGATTGGATTTATACCTTGCCCTTCCCTACCCAAAGGAGTCTCAGAGCAGCTTACAAAGTCCTTTCCCTTCCCCTCCCCACAACAGACACCCTGTGAGGTAAAAGAAGAAGAAGAGGAGTTTGGATTTATACCCCGCAGTTCACTACCCGAAAGAGTCTCAGAGCGGCTTACAACCTCCTTTCCCTTCCCCTCCCCACAACGGACACCCTGTGAGGCAGGTGGGGCTGAGAGAGCTCTTTTGAGAACTGCTCCTGAGAGAACAGCTCGGTGAGAACTTGTGACTGACCCAAGGTCACACCAGCAGCTGCACGTGGAGGAGTGGGGCATCAAACCCGGTTCTCCCAGATTAGAGTCCGCGCTCCTAACCGCTACACCAGACTACACCCAAGTGGAAATTTTGTTTGTCCCTTAGAAGCTACTGGACTTGAATCTCGTTCATACAAAATGGATTGAGCAGTACCATCTTGGCCATCAGCTTGAGCGAATCTTTATCACTGGGGCTGGCCTGCCTGAAATAAGAACTTCCTGACGGGGCACAACCCTGTTTCTATATGGCCTTGGGTGCCTTACCAGGGGCCAAGGAATGCCCGTGTGGGCTGTGAACCCATTTCCAGACGTGTCCTCACTCTGTCTCTCTCTTCCAGATAACCTCCCCTGCCACTTTACCTCAGCGTTCGGCGCCGGGTTTTGCACAACCATCATTGCTTCCCCCGTCGACGTAGTGAAGACGAGATACATGAACTCTGCCCCCGGTCAATACGGAAGTGCCGTGAACTGTGCCCTGACGATGCTCCGCAAGGAGGGTCCCTTGGCCTTCTACAAAGGGTGAGTCTCGGGCCTTCCGGATAGAGGGAAAAGAGGGGCTTTGTGGGGTTGGTAGGATTTTTGGGAGTGGATGATGCAAGCCCTTGGAGGGGGGGGTTGCGGGTTTTTTCCTTTTTCTGCCTGTTTGTGGGCTTCGCAGAGGATCTGGCTGGCCCCTGTGTGAGACAGGTCTGGATCACTGGTCTGATCCAGCAGAGCTCTTCTGAGGTTCTTATCGGGGGAAGGCCTCGGCCTCTCTGCCCTGTTGTTGGCCCTCCAGAGAAACTGGTTGGCCACTGTGTGAGACAGGAGGCTGGCCTAGATGGACCTTCACTGGTCTGATCCAGCAGGGCTCTTCTGAGGTTCTTCTGCGGTTCTTCTAACATTGACTTGTACCACAGTTTGCTCGAAGATCATTTCAGCGGGTGAGTTGGCAGACAAAGAAGTGGACATCAACCTGGCGTTAAAAATCACAGCACAACATAGATGGCTTCAAAAGGGGATTAGACATAAGAACATCAGATCAGTGGTCCATCTATTCCAGCCTCTTGTCTCACACAGGGGGCAGCCAGTTCCTCTGGAGGGCCAACGACAGGGCAGAGAGGCCGAGGCCTTCCCCTGATAACAGAAGCAGAGCCCTGCTGGATCAGACCAGTGAGGGTCCATCCAGTCCAGCATCCCGTCTCACACAGCGGCCA